TATCAGTCTTTTGGCCATAGTAAGGGCACAGAGAGTCCATTTACATTGTCCAGTTGCCAAGTTCCACGTACTAGGTATATAGTTCAAAAGAATAATATCCTCTGAAAATTTTAGCTTTTGTTGCACAATCATATTGATGTAGTCCACTACTTTCTCCCAAAACTTGGTAGGTATAGGACATTGTAGAAACATGTTTTAAAGAAGCATTATTCTTATTACATCTCCAACAAAATACTGTTTTTGACAATCCTTTTCTATATAAATGTAATGGAGTCCAATAAATTGAGGTCCATTGACACTCTTACTATAGAAGTTAAAACACTCTCCCTTTGTCTAGATGATATAGGAACCTCTAATTCTTAATTCCACTCATTTCTTAACATCTGCATTTCAAATTGATTTATTGATAACAAATATCTATAAAAACTAATAGTAGGTTTTTTAGTTTTAAAGGATTTAACAAGTTGTTCTAGGTATCTCAGAAGCTGACAATGTTGCTGATCCAAATAATGTTACAGTATTAACAAATGTTGTAACTGTAAATATTGGCATTGGGTTGCATCTGATAGATATTTATCTCAACACAGAGTATGTTAAAAATTCATCTTCATCATCTATCACTTGGTCCAAAGTCAGTATCCCTGCTTCTATCCAATTTTTCCATATCACCACCTTTTTCCCAATTTTTAAAGTTGGGTTTCCTCATAAAGTCAATTTGGCATGGGAAAAAGGTCAAATCTTGTTTTATTAGACATTACATTCCATATCTTTCTAACTGATGAAATTATTTCCAGAGATATTATAGTAGTAGTGGTAGTATAGTATAGATCCTAATACCATCCATCCAACCAAAAGTGCTATATGTGTATATTCCAATGTTGCCCAAATTGGAAAATTAACACCAATTGTTGGCTTCCAGTATTTAATACTTGGTGCTATATGTGTATATTCCAATGTTGCCCAAATTGGAAAATTAACACCAATTGTTGGCTTCCAGTATTTAATACTTGACAATAGGTAAGCATGATGATATAGTTCCAGATTCAGAAAACCAAATCCTTCCTCATTAATTGGTAACTGCATTTTCTGTAAAGATACACTCGGAATTGAAGAACCCCATAGAAATTTTCTAAACAAAGAATTTATTTTCTGAAAATATTTTCCAGGTATAAAAACTAGAATTCCTCTCAGAATATAAATTAATCTGGGAATTATATTCATTTTGAGAACATTCACCTTTCCCCAAAGGGTGAGGTTTAATGACTCCCATCTATTGATATCTGAAGAACTCTCTATATATTTTATTTATATTATATGTTTAACTTAGTTATATCCTTTGGTAGACACATACCTAGATATTTAATGGATTCAGTACAAATATGAAATTGGTATTCCTTAAATGAATGATTAGCCAAATTTTCACCAATTGGCATCAATTCCAGTTTGGACCAGTTAACAGAGTATCCTGCTATTTTACTAAAGGTTTCTATCTTTTGCATCAACACTGGCATAGTAATATGAAGTTTAAATATAAACAAAAGAATATCATCTGCAAATAAACCAATCTGTGTTCAACTGAATTATGTACTACTCCACAGATCTCCCTATAGTGAAGGGTTCCACACAGATATTAAAAAGCAAGGGTGAAGGTAGACATCCTTGTCTAGTTCCTCTAAATAGTGGAAAAGTAGGAGAAAACATGCCATTAACCTTTACTTTAGATGTGAGCAATTCATATTTTAGTACGGCAAACATGTACGGTTTATGTATTTTGTCAAAGGCTTTTTCAGCATCTAATTGAAGGTAGACATCCTTGTCTAGTTCCTCTAAATAGTGGAAAAGTAGGAGAAAACATGCCATTAACCTTTACTTTAGATGTGAGCAATTCATATAATATCTTAATCCATTTTATAAATTCCAAAGGAAATCCAAATCTATTTAGTACGGCAAACATGTACGGTTTATGTATTTTGTCAAAGGCTTTTTCAGCATCTAATGATAAAATTACAAACTGATCTTTATTTTTATTCAAGTCTACTAGATCTACACTAATCTAATGTTGTCTGCTACATGCCTAGTTTTTATAAACCCTGCTTGATCATTCTTAATCACAAATGATATCACTTGTTAACACTGCTGTTAAAATCTTTGTGTCGACATTAATCAATGAGATTGGATGGACCTCCCTTCTACAACACTGCAATCACTTCCTGTAGCTGCTTTGTTTTACTTGATGCTGGTTCACCCATTGCACATTTACTCCATGTCCCAGTACTTCAGGCATTAGAACTGGCCTCACAGTAACACACTACCTTTGTTCAATGACTCTTTGATAATTATTGTTTCAGTCTCAAAATTCTTGAGTTTAGGTGATCAATGTAATTTCAGTCCTGTGCCAGGATCTGAATCCTGGCTGTCATAGATCTAGATAATACATTTCTTGTAGGGCTCTTTGTAGCTGTTGCTCCACCACTTTCCTCACATAAGGGATATTGGATATAGAACAATATTTGTCAAATACAAGTGGGTCCAAGGCATCTCTTGAAAAGGTGGTGGACCAGGGCCTCTTTCAAGGTTGCAGACATTATCCCCTCCCACAAAGAGGCACTGACAATATTCTGTCTCCTATGGGAGCTCAAGGCACTTGAGAAGTTTGCTTCCTTTCAGTCATTTTGTTCACACAACAATCCTGTCCCTAATCTTATGAGTGGTTAAATGTTATGATAATTGTTATGGCTGATAAACGTTATGGCTGGGGCAAGGTTTCATGTAAACTAAACATTAAATCACAGTGATGCTTCTCTTCTAGGTTCCCAACACAATTTTTTTTTAGTTTTTATTTATTTATCACATTTGTCAAATCCCTACTTGCTCGTGAAGATTCTGGAACAAACTATTAAAAACATAGGATTCTGAATAAAGAATGCATTTAATTTTCTTAGCATAGATTTTGAAGGTTTCACAAATCATTTCATTTAATTAGGAGATAAACTTAGTATTAAGTGATGTATGATCTGTTTCTGTTATTTTTAAATTTATTAAATGTACATCTTATCTTTCTATTTATACAACAAAGATACCTTAGAGCAACTACAGTACAAGTTATAAAGCATAAGAATAAAAACAAAAAAAATCAAGAGAAAATTAAAATCAATATCATTAAAATTTAAATTCACTTTTATTCAATCCAGTAATATACCATGAGAACGTTTTAAAATAGATATTATTTAAGGTGTTAGTTATAACCATGTCTGTCCACTACTAGAATACACATAATTGGAAAAATGGAGTTACTTTTACCTTTAATTGCCCTAATGCATCTCTGAGACCTTCTAGAGGGAAGGACAATTTTGAAGATAAATCATAATGTTATGGAGATTCCCCTGTTCTTCTGAATACAATAGAAAAATATAACTCATTCACAGATTTTCACTATTTGCCAGCAGACAGATGTTGATGAACAGAAGAAGTAAAAATATGTATCTTAGAATATGGGTAATTCTGATTCATTAGATAATCCAAAATTCATAAATAACAACAATGAAAGCTTCCTTGAAAGTTGCCTATCGCAGTACATTTTAGAACTATGAACCAGGGCTAAGAGATAGGGCATGGCAATCTCTATGCATATAAATAGAGTCTGAGATTGTGGTACTTCTAGCAACCTGACTCTAGGAGCCAATGCACACAGAATCATACAATTATAAGGGCAACTGAGCATAATTCCCTACTCAGTGAAATAATGCATTTTACTACATCCCTGACAGATGCTGCTCAGCCTCTGCTGCAAAATATCTAGTGAAAGGGAACTCACCAATTACATTGTCCATTGTAATTTGTTCTATTGTCAAACTCCTCTTATTATTAGGCATCTTTCTTAACATTCAACCATAATCTGCTTTTATGTAAGTTATGACTGCTGTACTGTGCCTTACACTGAAGGACAATAGAGAACACATCTTGACCTTCTCTGTAGTACCTCTTT